TTGGGATATTTTTTCAGGAAACAGGATTTAGCACAATGAGCTACCCCAGAAGGCAGTTCAAACTCACAGCCTAGGGTGGCTCCTAAAATCTTAGAGGTGACAGAAATATTGAAAGACCAAGATGTGGTGGCCACACCCCAGAGGACGGACCAGGGAAGAAGGCGTGCTAGAAAGGGGACACCGAGCTAGATGTCCCATCAGAGGATTCTGTTTGAGGGCAGGACCTCAATATTCACTAGGACCATGGTGAGAACACTGGAAGGAAAGACTGAGATGGATCTCAGCTGACTTACAGGAGCATTATGATGAGACCATAATGGGTCCGGTATGATGGTAACTGAAGAAGGTAGGCATGGTGACCATGTAATGCTGACCTTAAAACGGTGGTCAAGGGGCCGTGATCTGTAAAGTCTTGTGGAGATTCTTAGGAGAATGGACGAAATAGGGACCTAGTCACAGAAGAAGTTATCTTACATGCCTCAGTGGAGTTAGGAATGGATGAGAGTTGGGCAAGCGAGATCATACCCATTCATCAGGCAGTTCCCAAAGTGAAGTCAGTTCTCTGGTCACAAGTTCAAGACTGAAGGGGTGATTGGATTCCAGGGGAAAGGTCATTGCAGTATTTCAGCATGTCTGTTTGTAAAAAGAACCTGCAAAGGACAAGGAGGCATCCAGGGCACCTGCATGGATGAGCACACACTCAAAACCCAGAAATCTCAAGAAGTCATTGCAGTTCTTTGTTCTCATGAAACTGGGAGAGGCATTATGGAAATTAGAACAGAAGGGTAATTCTAGACAAAGTTTAGCCCACAAAGTTTAGTCTACAAAGTTTAGACTACAATTGGGTCTATGGTCTCACCGCTGCTCCTTCCCCAGTCTTTTTTCCTTTTTTTTTTTTTTTTTTTCTATTTTCACATGAACATACGGTGTCCATGTGAAGACCCACGGTTAATGTTGGGAGCCATCCTGAACCACTCTTCCACCTTATTCCCTGAAGTGTGGCCTCTCAGGCAAGCCTAGAATGTATGATGTGGCTAATCTTGCTTGCCAGCTTGCTCTGGGGAGCTTGCCTCTGCCTTCCAAAGCTAGAATTCCAGGTGGTCGGCTACACCAAACATTTATATGGTTTCCGGGGACCCGAACTATGGTCCTTATGCTTCATAAGCATTTTAACCACTGAGCCAGCTCCTTAGCCATCTAGTCTTTGTGACAATTGACTCTGACCTGCTTGGCAGGTAAAGTAACCACATAGTGTTTTTCCTCTTGGGGAAAGTGTAGTCGTCTAAACCTACTTGACCCCAACCAAAGTAGTAAACAACAATAACAACAACAACAACAACAACAACAAACAAAACAGTGTGGTCTTGAGTAGTGCCTTTTAGCTGTCTTGTGGGGCAACATCTGCTTCTGGCTATGATGGTAAAAACAAGAACGCAATTTACCCTTATATCTTAAAGGAAAATTCCAGACAAAATATGTAAAATAATTGTGTCTAGACATTGACGCTCACCAGGTATAGAATGTGATTTTTCAGAGAGGGAGGAAATGACGTCACCACGGAGGACTGCCCAGGCTCATGTTCTAGGCATCTTCTATGCAGCAAAGGAAGGATGGGGAGGCAGAAACCAGCCAAGGCAGTGAATTGAGAGACAGAAATTAGTGTCACGGGAAACCAGTGTTTGTGGAGTTTGTTTGACATAGTAAGCACAATTAAAGGGGGTGGATGGGCAGGAGTGGGGTGAAGAAGGAATGCAAAAACAAGCAAAAGAAACCCAGGGGGTAGAGCAAGATCAATAGAGAAAACTCTTCTGTGGATCTTCTTGGGTAGTAGTTGCACTTGACTATGTGGAAAAATGAAATGAAGTTACCCCAAATTAGAAGTTACCCAGACTGAAGAACTGTAAAGTAGCTCAGTAAGTAATTTACAGATCTTGGAGCTGGAAGGAGTTTGTGTCCCCACTAAGCCAGAGTGGGGATAGTATGCTTAAGACATCAGGTAGAGTCCCCACGTGAATGTTGTCAGAGTAGAGAGGTTGAGTTGTCGTTAGTTGAAAGGCTTCTTTGGAAGTGACAGATGTAAAGGAATTAGCCACCTGGGCCATATGGTTTGGTAGATCCTGTGGTGCCAGAGGTATCTTTGGTTAAGAAAACAACACATGGGGCTGGAGAGATGGCTCTGCCATTAAGATCAATTTCCAGCAACCACATGGTGGTTCACAACCATCTATAGTGGGATCTGATGCCCTCCATTGGCATAAAGTTGCACATACAGCAACTTTACATAAAAGTTAAAGCACTCATACATAAACTTTAAAAATTGAAAGACAAGAACGCACAACCGACTGCATGTAGTGTGTACTGAGCATGAGATCAGAAGGGAGGGAGCTGAATCTGCTGGGAACATGCTTCCTACACAAGCATGAGAGCCTGGACTCAGAGCCCTGGCACCCACATAAGAAGCTGGGTATGGCACTGTGCACCTGTCATCCCAAGACTGGGGACGGAGAAACAAGCAGAGTTCTGGTGCTCGCTGACCTGACAACCTCACCCAATCAAGCCCCAGGTTCAAAGAGAGACCCTGCCTCAAAAAATAAGATGGAGAGCAACTGAAGACATTCAACATCAAACCTCTGGCCTCCACAGCCATGCACATCTGGTCCTAAAAGCAGGTTGTACTACCTATAAGACTGAACCAATGGCTTCTGGAATACCATAGGATGCTGGGGGAGATGGAAACACGGGACTGTAAGTGGTATGGTGCCCCCAACTGGTGTTACTTAGATGCTATAAGAATCATTGCATCGTAGAGTTGGCAGAACTAGCAACACCCATCATAAGATACAAATGATGGTGGGGGGGGGGCTGGAGAGATGGTTCAGTGGTTAAGAGCATTGCCTGCTCTTCCAAAGGTACTGAGTTCAATTCCCAGCAACCACATGGTGGCTCACAACCATCTGTAATGAGGTCTGGTGCCCTCTTCTGGCCTGCAGACATACAGACAGAATACTGTATACATAATAAATAAATATTTTTTAAAAAGATACAAATGATGGGATGTCATCGATATAGACACTTATTTCCATGTAGGCTGACACAAATATTCATGCACAATGGGATCCATCTAATATATCCTGCTTCCCTGGATACTAGCTACAGAGTGCCAGGTATCATCATCAGTGGGTGGAGAAAATAGAGACACCAAAATTATCCCTTTTCTCTTTGTAATTTGTTCTAATTCCTAATGAACAGTTATGAAATGCCTAATATGAGACTCACTCATGAAAAGCAAGCCCAGCCCATCCTCTTCTCAGATTGTTTTGATCTGTAGTTAGTTCACTTTATGAATACAGGACTCATGGATATGGTGAACAAGTGTGTGTGTGTGTATTCATTCTTGTCCCTATATTTCAATTAAAATTATTCAGAAATACTGAGGATGGCATGCCACTCGTTGTTAAGACTGTTCCCAACAGACAGATCAAATACTCACTTATTTCCCTCTAATTCTTAGAAAAATGAAGTGGACAGTTAGCCCTGGTGCTTCTTTCTCTAGCTCTCGGGCATGAGAAGGGCCATTCACTCTACTCCCATGAAGCTTGGAGTATGACCTAGGTGCAAAGCCAAGGACAGGCCTTGGAGTTATGACTAGCAGAAGTGGTCCTCACTCCAGGGAAGCAGCAAAGCTGAGGACACCACGAGTCAAGATTCTTCTGTCCCTGTCTGTTACCCACATCTGTGAAACCACATCCCTCCACAAACCACAGCAGCTAGACCACTGGTCCACCCATCACTCAACACTTTAGGATGTTCACTTCAGGAGGGTTTCCTTATGTCTTTAGAGGCGCTGCCCACAGCCTGTGATGTTCTGTCTCCTTTCTGCCCCCACCCCCTGCACCGTCTGGCTCTCACCATTTTTCACTTCATATCCAGTCAAGGACTCAATGATTCTGTAGTAGAACAGCCACAAAAAAGTAGGAATAAAAATATCCAGGGGGATCAGGAATTAGTGGGAGGGAAGTAGGGAGAAACGGGGTATAAGGAAAAATATGTTCAACTTATAATAGGTACTTCATCGAAAACTTAAAAACTTTTAAATGCACGAACAAACAAAAAAGTTTCAAATATTGACTTTACAATTGTTTTATTCAAACAAACTTAAAAACCTAATAAATATCTTTAAAATGGGGATTTTAAAATCATTTTATAATTAGTTCTAATGCTCCTCATCTTGCCTTCAAACAAATATTGATATATTAAGTTCAGGATTTCTGATAACCACATACATTCTAATTTTTTTTTAATAACACCATTTTAACTTTTATTGTATACAGCGTTCTGTCTGCATGCATGCCTGCACACCAGAAGAGGGCACCGGGTTTCATTATAGATGGCTGTGAGCCACCATGTGGTTGTTGGGAATTGAACTCAGGACCTCTGGAAGAACAGCCAGTGCCCTTAACCTCTGAGTCATCTCCCCAGCACCATTCGCATATTTTTTTAGGTATGCAGAACCCAACATACAAGCTTTCTAAGATTCACAAGAAATGATCTGTGTGCCCTGTGTAGTTGAAAATTGATCCAAAGGATTAAAAAAAAATCCCTGTGGTCATGTGTCAAGCTGTCATTGTGGCTTTGAGAGGTGCTGTTTTTCATAGAGGGTGAGAGGCATTTTCTTCCTTCTCTCAAGGATGTATGTAAAACATTACCAAGGGTTCTGCATAGGACACCTCGTGGTGCTTTGGCCTGTGTGGTTTAACTTCCACATATTGTCACAAGCTGTCAACGGTGGCTGCAGAAGCTTGGTGTAATCACTAGTTTATTCTGGATACACAACAACCTGGGACAGAACAAGGGGCACAGGGCATTATAGTAAAACAAACACTTTGCACACTTTTATCTCAGTTCTTAAGCATGCTGAAATTCTGTTGGGAAGAACCTGGAAGGGACTTAACTCATACACAAATATGAAAAAAGATAATAATAAAAAACCACACAAATCAAATGGTGCAAAAAATCTTTTTAATCTAAAAACTCATTTCCCGGGGCTAATTAATAGCCAAGCCCTACCAATTTTATCAGTTTCTTTCACTAACAAGAGTCAGCATTTTCTTCAAAGTGAGATAATATATAATAGATTTTGGTAAACCTAAGTTAGGACATGATGCTGCAAGCAGTTCAAGGGGGGGGGGGAAATAGCTGTATTATTTTTCTTTGGTATAACCAAAAGGAGATCCAAAAGTTAGCAAATATTGACATTTCAAGTGACAAGCTGTCACACGGAAGTTTAAAGTCTGGTTTTTAAACAAAACTCTCTGTAAAGGAAAAGTTCCACCCACAGCTCTACAGTGCACGTTTTCTGAATTAATCCTGAAAATATTTTATTTAATAAGCAGGAACCAAATCCAGCAGCATCACTCACTACCCTACCTCTCCTCTCAGAGACCCTGCTCTTCTTGGCTCTCTCACCCCATTCCGCAACTCGAGGGAATTCATGTAAAAAACAAAACGAAAAGCATCCACCATGCTTCTGACATCAGGCTAGAAGTGTGTGCAGTAGGCACAGGGCACAGCCCCAACACTTCCTCTTGAGTTATTTTTACAAAAGAAGGAGCAGGAGGAAGGAGCAGCCACAGCGGCAGCGGCAGCAACAATAGCAAAGCCCCTCCCCCGGAAAAGTACCTGAACCAATGAGTTGCTTAGCCATTTCCCAGCCTCTCCCTGGCTTCCATGTGTTCCATGTTAAGAATCAGCCCCACTGCCTCTTAGAAGTAACAGCTTCGAATCTCTCCTTAGTGAACTTACTCATTTCCATACCCATAATGCTTTGAAAACAGTTACCATCATGGTCTAGAAGTCTCCATGACGTTCTACCTTAGCTCTGACTTTTTCTTTTACTTCTATACACAATGTTAGTGTGTGTACGTGTTAGAATGAAATGTTCCAAATGCACATATCCACACACCCGGCATTTTTGAGAAAAACAAATGACAAAAATCTTCCCCAGGAAGCACTTTCAGAAGTTGAAGCTTCTACTTGCTTTTTAAGCCACGTGGCGAGTGAGTCCTAAGACCCGCAAGGCCGAGACCTCCCCAACACCAATGCTGAGTGGGGTCCCCACAAGCCAGGAAAAGGCCACATAGACTTCCAAGAGTGATACACTTCCCTCCAACCTCACTCTAGAGAGGCAGGTTCTGACCCTAACTCTTCGGTACCCCCACAGTGCTCTGAGAGACCCTTGCCCTCTGCCCTTCCTATTCCATCCACAGAGGTGGACTCCTCCCTACACAGCAGGCTGTCCCGGTCCACCTTCTGCCCCTCCAGTCTGTCCAGAGAGCATCCCCTGGCAGCATCCAGGGTCCTGTGTGGCTTGTTGTCTGCTGGCTCGGCAGGTTCTCCCTCTCCCTCGGAGATGACGGTCATCGGGCTGCTCTGGATGCGGTTCCGCATGCTGTACCTGCTGCTGGCCGCAGAGGGTGGCGTCCGGCTGCGGCTGTACCGAGGGCCTGAAAAGGACAGACTCCGAGGCATCAGGCCTTCGTTCTTGGCCCACTCCTCCTGGGCCCTCCTGTTCTTGTTGGGGGAGCAGCTAGACGGGCTGTCTGGGACGTCTGGCGCAGGCTCCGACCTGGATCTCTGGAATCGGGGGTCGGTGGACTTGAGCATCTCTGCAGCCGACATGCGGGCGCTGGTGTCCGAGCGACTCCCCTTCTTTAGGAGCAGAGCTTTGAAGTTGTCGCTGCTGGTGGCACTCTTTTTCATGCTTCTCTGGATGGAGCCGACTTGCTTCGGAGAGGCCAGGCTAGGGGCAGCGCCTGTGGGTGTCACTGGCGGGGAGGGAGAGTGATTTCGGGTGTGATCATCTTCTGAGTCTTTCCGGCCAAGGACTTTCCTTTTGGATCTACAATAAAACAAAATTGAGATTGAAAGTCGATCCTTAGCAACCCATGCGGCAATCACCTGTCATCTTCCTGTCACACCTTGTGGAAGACACACACACACACACACACACACACACACACACACACTCCAACCATTAAAGAGGAGCCCAAGAGCTCCTCTGATATTATGTACCACCCATCAGGGCACCAGATGTCTCCGCCCCCATGAAGTGTGCTGAACGTTTTTTTATTCAATAGTTCTGCACAATGGCCAACAGGAGCAGCGAATGAAGTGAGAACAGCTTCAGATTTCTGGAGCCGGCAAAGGGTTCGCAAAGGGTCTAGTCTAACCGTGGATTTAAAAAGAAACTGAAATCTAGACAATGATCCCCCCCACCCACACACACATACACACACAGAGACATACTTAGTACAACTCAGTCTTGATGGACCTTCTCCGCGTGTAACTACACATCTCTGCCGCTTACACTGATTGCCACCGGAGCGCCTCTGCCTTCCTGGTCTTCTAGACACTAGCCTGTTTTGATTTGCTTTTAAGTGGTCAGAGGGTGCTGAGACACAAAAGGCCCCGGCCATACACTCTGAAATCTAGGGCCTTTAATTGTAGATAGTAGAAGTAAAAGAGATGGCGAGACTTAGAAAACAAACGAACAAAAAATGACTGCTCTTTCTCAGGGGGCAGCTGCCTCTAACAAAGTGAGTTAAATTTAAACTTCTGTTGTCTCTGCATTCTGTGTGTGTGTTGTGTTTTTTAAAGATGATGGCTATAACAGGCATTAAAATAGTTAACAGCGGCTTGAAGTCTGATTACTTCAATAAATATTAAAGTTTCACACCTCAACTGGAGTTCTACACTTCCCATCTGGCCTTAAATCTGAAGAGAATTAATTTGCATGATAAAACTTGAAAGCTATGCTCCAGTTTGGGTAGTCTTTATTTGACATTTGAATTGAGATGCTGAAGGACATGAATGTCAAGTTCTAGGTGTCCCAGGCTTCAGATGGACTTTGATTACATCTGCTAATTCGCTATTAATCCCGACAACAGAAACCAGCATATAACTGAGCTCTCTCTTTTTAATCCATTCCCGAGGCTACTTGGCCTTCACTTTTGTCCCATGTGTGCAGAGAATAATACAAAACGGGCTGATTTCTATATCTGTAATAGATGGCACTGTCCCTGAAGCAGAAGCCACACATTCTTCAGTGCCTTCTGAAGGTTGCCAAAATAAAATATAGAAAGGACCTTTGGAATATTTTTAGGAAAAAAATCTGCAGTAATTTGGCTCCACAGCAGTTGGATTTCCTTGAGACCGGGTATTTGGTGCACACAGCTACTTGGCAACACACACCCCTGCGGCTTGTGATTATAAATACAGATTCCTGTATATTTAGAAACCCGGTGCATTCCATCCTAGATGAAAGACATTCGGTCTCAGAAGAATTTCCTAACAGTTAAGTTCCAATTGGTTTCAATTAATTCAGAAGATATTTGTCGAGGGCTTATTGTGTGCCCAACACGGCTACAGTTAGAAGCATCTGTGTAAACCACTACAAATGCCGCTTAATTGGCTCTCGAAAGATGCGTTTCTCATCTCCCTGTTTCAAGAAAGAACTGGGTAGCTGGCTCCTTTTTAATTTCTAATGAGATCAAAGAAACCAGAGAAGCAACGGTAAAGTGGTCTTTAGGGTCTATTAGAACAATACTACAGCTGAGAGACAAAAATAAAACCAAGAAAAGATAGACATGTGTATAATTTCTTTGTCAACTCGAGTTGATAACTCAAATCCCAGCTTGCTTCTGCTGCTCTTCTGCGTTGCACAGAGTCCCAGGGAAGGGTGGGACGTTCTTCTACCGCATGCAACAACCTTTTTATTTAAGCTCTCTGGGAGCTGTGCTGGAGAATCAAATGATTCTATAGGGTATTTGGTCTCAGAAAGAAAATAGGGACCATCACTCAGGTCAAAACAAAGTCTTGACAGCCTAGAAACATTACAAGAGTTATCAGAAACTCTGGTAGTAAGGAAAGCTAAGTTGCAAGAGCATTAAAGTGCTTGTACATATTCGATCTTAGCATTTGCTAGTATGATACTGCTATGCAAAGACTAAGTTGTATACAGACAAGCAACGTAATAAGTGAAGCTGCAGTGTGCAACCACCATTTAAACACAGGTAACAATTCCCTTTGAACAATCGACTGGCTGTACTTCTTTTAAAAGCCAGCAGGTGGCGCTAAGAGTATATAGTAACTAAAGAGTCGGGCCCCCCCCCCCCCCCAAGAACCATTACTCCTTGAAAGACTCTGGAGTGCTGGGTCCTGCATCAGGACCAGCAAAGCTCTGGGATGTGGAAGAAGCAAGTGGAAAGACTATTAGATCTAGATGTGATGGACGACTTTAGGGAAACAGCATTTTCCAGACACAACAGGGCAGACCTGCGAATGAACTTAAGTCTATATAAAATGTGCATAAACTCAAGCTGGACAAAACCCAAGGAAAGAAGAGGGCAAGTGGCACCAAGTCACACAGCACATGAAGAAGCTATTCACAAATGACAGCTGCTTGGAGAGGCAAGGCCAGTTTTCTTCAATGTAGCGATACTGGGTATATCAACCACATGCCAGGGCAGCTCAAGTGGCTCAAAAAAAATTTCTTTTTTTTGAGAGAGAGAAAATATGAAAGCTGGCCAGAGGCATATCTGGGAGGAGTTGGGGACTAAAAAAAAAAAAAAGAAAGAAAGAAAGAAAAGAAACATACTCTTGACGAAACATTGAAGGAGCCAGAAAAGAAAGCACTATGAAATTATGGGTTTTCTAAAACAAACAAACAAACAAATAAGCATTCTTAGGAACATGGCTCTGTAGAACTAGTCTGTGTTCCCTAAGTTCCCAGAATGCAGTATTCCTAACACTAGTTCAGAGCCAAATCTTGTAAATAAACACTGGGTCACATGACTGACACACTAGGTGTCTTGCCACCCACAGCTGTGTCTACCAGGAGGTAACACACTGTCCTCAATGTCATCCCGGAAATCAATGGAACAAGTAAAACAGAAATCAGACTTGAAATGAAAGTATGAGAAAGACATCTAAAAATGAGTGGAGTTGAATACCTGGTTACAAAGGAAACTCAAGACAACGGAGGCGCCATCTGGAAAGAGGAAATTAGTATATTAAAGTGCACCAAAGGAGTCTGGGATACCTGTGAATGGCTGCAAACAGGTCCTCTGTGGTTCTGGGCTTAGTGGGGGTCATCACGCCATCACTCCCTTCTTCCTTAGAGAAGTCCCCGGCGACCGAGGAAGCAGCAGCTGTGTTGGGCTCCAGCAGCCCAGCTAGAGAGAAGAGAGATGGGCAAACACGAGATGTGATGACTGGCACTTGAGTCCTTGGCGGGGCTCTGAGATACGCTGCTTCCCTGCCTTTCCTGACAACGTGAGAGCCGGGTGGGTCTGCAGTTTGAGTTTTTACAGAAAGAGGGAGACACAACACTCAACTGACAGAGTCAGGGCTCAGTATTTGCTGCAACAGACTTTGGACTAAGTTGCTCTTAAATTTTGTTAGAATGTTTCTTTGTAGCGCGTCAGTAGAGAGATTACTCCTACTACTCGGAACCCAGCCTGCTGCACGCGCGCGCGAACACACACACACACACACACACAGAGCCTTTTAACAATTTCACGAAGCAGCTTGGTGTGTCAGAAGCCCACACAGTGCTGGCTTTCGCCTATTTCTGGGCTGCTTCACCTGGCTCCACTGAGTGTTGAGCAGCCCTACTTGGCTCAGCCCCAGAGCGCCAGAGGAGTACAGCAGAGGGCAGCCAGGCTTACCTTCTCTGCCCTGTTGAGACAGGCAGCTCTCCGCATTGCCCTCATCATCCACGCTGCTCTTGGCTGACTCTTCCTGTGTGGGTCCCAGTGAGGCACTGGGCTGGACCATGGGGGCATTGATTTCCACGCTGCCAGGGGACAAGGACCCTGCAGCTCCTCTTTCCAGAACCGGACTGCTGGGGGTGGGGGCCGTAGCATGAGAACCAGCTCGGGATGCTGGACTAGCTTTCTCCTCTTGGCTCTGCACAGCCTCCCCGTCTGCCCTGGTAGGGCTGGGCACGCCTGGGAAGGCTTCGCTCCCGTTCTCTGTGGGCTCCGCTGTGAAATCTCTCTGCGGAGGTGGTACCACCAGGAACAGTTTGGGCTTCTTGGAGATGGGAGGTGGCTTCCTGCTGGGTGAAGAGTCCGGGAGCAGAGTGGTCCGGAGGCTAGGCCCGGGACACGGAGCTCCATCACTGCGGCTCAGAAGTCCCCCACACTCGGTTGCACTGTCATGGTCACCCTGACTCTGGCTCTTGGCAGGCGTCGGGAGCGAGCTCGTCACAGAAGCAGGCTGGCTTTCACTCTCCATTTCATTTATGCTATTTCGGGATTTGAGGAGAGCAGATGGCTTTAAGTGATACTGTGGAGCAGTCGGAGTTCGTTGTTCCTGAGCTGATGGTTCAGAAAACAGGGCTGCCTCGGCGCCTGAGTTCTTTCTCACTGGCCTCAAGTGCACCATCTGCAACGCTTCCGTGGTGATCAGGGGCATGGGGGGTCGGCAGCCTTCCTCCTTGTTGGCAGGCCGCCGGAGAGCCTCCCTGGGGAATTCGGACTGGCTAGAGTTTTTGAAAAAAGGCTTGCTGTCTTTCATGAATTTGGGGTCCAGGGGTGGGGCGGGAGGGGGTTCCGATGAGGGCAAGAAAGGTGGAGGAGGTGCTGGCAAAGGAGGCGAGGCTCTTGGAAGAAGGGGGCTAACAGCTGTGGGGGGAGGAGAAAGGCACCTGTCAGTGGGGGAGCAGAAGGGAACAAGGGCTTCTGGAGGTGGAGGGGGGAACACCGGAGAGGGAGGCAGAGGAGAGCCCTCTGAGCAATCTGCTAGGGGAGGAGGTGGTGGAAGAAAAGAGGACTTGTCTGCCAGACAGGGAGAAGGCAGAGGGGGGAGAGGAGGAGGCGGAGCAAGGGGTGAGGCTAGGGCTGAATCCAGTTTCTTCATGGTGCTACTTCCTTCGGTAGAAGTATTAGAGGAGAGAGAAGTGGATGAGGAAGAGACGGACATGGAGGAGATTAGAGACGACTTCCTTTCTGGTACCTTGGGCTTGGCCTTTCCCTTCCCATTTGCTGGTGACATTGACTTTAAAAACACAGGCACGGGGGTGAGTGCTGTGGGTGTATTCGACTGGCTGGAATACCCACTGGATGGAGAGGTGACTCTCTGTGACTTCTCTGGTGAGGTGATCTTTGGTTTAACCGAGCCACCAGGCACTTGGGGCATTGGGACTCTGGAGCCCTCTTGGATGTGACCGACGGGCCCATTTCCAGTTGGCACCTCGCTGCTAGCTGAGCAGCCGCCTGAGGGGTTCCCTGGATCTTCCGGCAAGTTTGTGTAGTCAATGTAGTAGCCCCAAGGGTCTGTGTACTCCGACTTGACGCTGCTTGTGTCGCTCTGCGATGGCGTTGCCCCGCACAGGGCGTACACATTGGGAGCGGTGGTGGACGTCATGCTGCTCCCCTCGCTGACAACGCTCTGGCTTCGGGACCGAGGGAGCCAGGCTTCCTCGCAGTCGCTGCTGGGGCTCTGGGAAGGGGAGCTGCTGCCCTTGCCAGCGAGGCTTTGCTGCAGCGAGTGCTGGAGCGAGGCGATGAGGCTCTCATTGAGCACCTGCCCATTGGACTGACTGTTCTTCTTAGGAACCCTCCGCAGGGAGTCCGTCCGGGATGGGGGCGGAGGGGGTTTCTTTGCTTTCTTCAGAGAGATGTTTCTGGAAAGGGATTTATCCTGGGGAGGGGCCTGATCCCCTTGGCTTCTTGGAGCCCTGCCATCGAAAACATTGACCATGCTGTGCCTGGGGTTCCCAAAGCCGTCACCGATACTGTACAAGTTCCCAGTCTCGTGTCCAGCATCACTGGGGGTGGTCATATAGTAACCATCGTGGTCCTCGGAATACAGGGACCTGGCATCCTCCTTGACAGATGTTTGGTCCAAACTGCAGCTGCTCATGTTACTCGTGGGAGTAGAACAACTAGGTGTGGCCAGGTGTGGCTTCAGTGGGGATGCCCGCCCATTGCTGGAGGCTTTATAGTCCCAGGGCTCAGAGCCGCCATGCCCCCTGTCCCCTGAATAACTAGACTCGCTCTTACCATCCACATCTGGGGGGTGGGCAGGAAAGTTCAGGCTGTTTCTACAATGATACGGTATGGCTTGAGGCCCATTCTCCCGATTGGCTGGGGCATTTAGAGAGCCCTCTGAATCGCAGAGGGCTAACAGTGTGGTGGCACTGGGGGCAGAAGAATGAATTATATGGCTCTCACTCCAGTGGTGACTGGGAGACAGGTGGCCATCTTTCACAGAACATCGGAGTGCAGGGCGGTCTCTGGGTTTTATCTTTGAGTATGTGGACGAGCCAGGCATTCTACTGTCCAGCTGCCCGGCACTCTGGGCAGTGTGAATAACAATGACCTCTGAAGAGGACAGCAGTGTGGCATTGGGGATGACGCTGGTGGAGTAGGCTGCGTGAGGGGAGACCACACAGGCTGGACTTGCGATGTTTTCACTCTCCAAGAATGTCAGTTGCTGCGATTTGGGCCGCGAAAGCATTCCAGACCGCGAGGCACCTCCCAAATGTGCAAAGTTTTCATGTCCCTGTGAGCTACCCCTCTGGTAGGGAGAAGTGTCCTCCATATCGTCAGCAGATCCCAGGGCGCCCATCCTTGCCTCCAGTGAATAGGAGCTCGCTCTCGCGCCAGAACGTGGGAGGCTGTGGAAATCAGCATCACTATGGAGGCGAGACGGGAAGACAATACCCGCCGAGTCGCTCAGCACAGACATGTTGCCAGAGGAGCCCGAGAGGTGGCTCATCTGGGCAGCAATGCCTAGCCCTTTGTGGGCCCTGATCCTCCTCATCGATGGTGGGATGACTTTCACATCTTCGGTCTGACAGCTGGAGTCCCTGGTTTCCGAGCACTGCCCTGTAGACCGATAGCTATCAAGCCTGCCTAGTGTGGAGTAGTGGTCTGGGGTGTACTTCAAATGACCACTACCATCATCGTCTTGACCAGTGACTGATGCTGGAGATAAAGCAGAAAGAGGCCTGTTATCTGAAAAGAGAAAGCCATACGTTACTATCAGGTGTACTCTCAGTACCCTCTGATTCTGTTGTAATAAAACAAAAAGAACACCATCGACAACAAAATCCCACAATCTCTTCTATTTGATTTGGTACCCAGCTGAGTTTAACTATTCCCGGTGTCTCCAAACTATTACCATCAATTTCATGTACTTTTATTTTTAATCAGCCCTGTAAATCATCCTATAACATGACTGACGCATATAGCATTCTTGTGTGCTCCTTTTGAGATCATGGTTACTGAGTACTGATGTGTGATGTCCTTCTGTATATGTGTTGCTTTTATTGGTTGATGAATAAAACTGTTTTGGCCAGGCAGGAAATCCGAACAGAGATATATAGAGGGAGTAGACAGAGTCAAGGAGATACCAAGTAGCTGCCGAAGGAAACAGACTCCAGGACCTTACCTGGTGAGCCACAGTCTCATGGCAATACACAGATTAATTGAAATGGGTTAATTTAGGTTGTAAGAGTTACTTAATAAGAAACCTGAGCTAATAAGCTAAGCAGTGTTGGAATTAATATAGTTTCTGTGGTTATTTGGGTCTGAGCGGCCAGGAGAGAATGAGCAGTCTCCGTTTACAGAGTACTATGGGAGATTTTCTTTTCAAATAAGTGGTTTTTGCAGAGTGTGGTGGTGCACACCTATAATCCCAATCCTGAGGAGGTAGAGGCAGATGATCTTGAGTTCTAGGACAATCTGAACTATACAGTGAGTGATACCTTATCCCCATAAACAAGAGCACCTAAGGAGAGAGGTCAGGAAGTAAAGTGCTTGTCACCCAAACGTGAGGATCTGACTTCAATCTTCAGAAACATTCACAACAGCCCAGCATGGTGGGTAGCCACCTTGGCTAGGGAGGTAGAGTCAGGTGATCCCAGGACCTACTGGGAAACCACTCTAGCCTATTTGGTAAATTCCGGACCAGTGATTGACCCTGTCTCAAAAAGCAAAGTGGGTAGGTCCATTAGCCTCCACATGCGCACACATATGCACGGGCACTTGCCCCCCCCCACATACATACCCACACCCCATATCACAAACCCTTCACACATCCACACCCCAAACAACAAGACACCCCCCCCAAATAACTATTAGTAAACACGTCAGTGACAGCACAAAGCATCCAATAAATAGAGCGGTCAGACAATGGGGCCATAGAGAAACCATTCAGATGATGTTGGTCTGAAACCAGTGTTAATTACATTGATTCTTCAAGTCAGAAGGAAGTCCTAAGAGAAAGAAAACCGATTTACGGGCCCATCTGTGTTTCAAGCATGTCATTATCCATCTTAAGCCATTATCCGCTGTCTGTTGGTGACATTCAAAATCCAACAGCAATCTGTTGTGTTCTAGTTGGGGGAAGAGCTAAGGAACCGATCCAGGGAACATTTCCTCAAATTAGGGATATTTACTTCTCAGAGTTTACAACCAACCAGAGAGTAGTATGTTCAAGAGAAAAAGAAAGAAACACAAGGAGGGATGAAACAAGAAGGAAGTGGACGGTAAAACTGTAACTATAAATAAGCAGATGTCAAGCCACATAGGAAGGAACAGAGCTTAAAAAAGAAAAATCACAAAGCCAAGAACTTATCCAAAACACACGAGGAAATAAAACCAATTCCCAGTACGAATCAAATCCTTAAAAATGGTGGCAAAACCATGGCTTCATGTTTTTTTTTCCCAGTCTGTATGAAATATGTATGGGAAGAGCAAACAAATATAATATATATAAAATAATTCTATCAGATTGTAAAATATGAAAACTCTTAACATGATATTCACATATATTATGACATCATCTTGGGACTAAGGGTTACAGGTCATATGAAAGGGGAGCTTTAGGTGGGGAGGAGGAAAGGATAAAAACCACTCAGAATGTTTGAAAAAGTCATAGGGAATCATATTTTACATTTCCCTAAAACCGTACATAACATTTATGTGTTGCGCACATGGGTTTAAGGAAGTTGGTTAAGTTCACAACACTTGGGGTGATAATGCTCTCCCAAGGAGTTACAGACTATATCTAACAAAAATATTAGTACCATGCATAAGAAACCTTTCAAATTGTTGGTCAGGGGAGTCCAAGCAACTCCCCAAACAATAAAGGGAGGGCATTTGCTGTTGCCCTCAGTTGCCTCCCACAAGTGGAAGGTAAGATCCTATTGCTGAAGACATCACACACTTTGGACACAGGACTTGGAGGCACGGAACTGATAGCCTCCTTTAGGACGAGCCTTCACAGTACTGAAACGTGCTACGCAAGCTGCCTAGGGGAAGAGTCATCAACAGTCCTCCCCGGCTGCAGTACCTAACAAACTACAGCAGTAACTAGCATGGCAAGATATCCCCAGAATGCAACAGCGGCACTCACATCTAAGTGGAAACCACCAGCTGTTTAATCCAGTGGTTCTCAACCTTCCTAACGCTGCAGCACTTTAATACAGTCCCTGATATCGTGGTGACCCTACAACCGCAAAATTATTTTTATTGTTACTTCATAACTGTTTGCTACTGTTATGAATCATAGTGTAAAAACCTGTATTTTCTGATAGTTTTAGGCAACCCCCGTGAAAGGGTCCGTTGACTCTGAGATGGGTCACAACCCACACGCTGAGGACCACTGATTTAATTGGTCCTAAGGGCTACTCAACAGAAAGGAGATGAGGCCTGATACTGTAAACCTTCAGGTATCCAGGTCTGGGAAAGGTTTTACCCAAGAACCTAATACTTCTTCATCTCTAAACTCACGTAATTCCTAACGAGGTTCACAATGCTTATCCTTATACCCGCAGGTAAGTGTAGCTCATAGGAAAGAAGCTGCTTCTGTAGCAGGTGGAGACAACCTCAGAAACCCGCACCTGGCCAAAGTGCAGAGAACAATTAACTGTGGGGTGCCTAGACCCAGCTGATAGCACAACCAGTAACACCCAAGGCTCGGGAACATCAAGGAAAAGGGAGTGCAAAGGTTGTAAGAGCCAGAGGACCAGGAAGTCGGCTTCATGGTAATATCCTCTATCTATATACATAAGGGAAGCGTCACCCACGAAATCTGAATACTATGACGGCCTAAGCACGACACAAATGATGACAGCACCGACTGGTATGACATTGTAGGTGGGGGCAATCTCAATGGGCCATCTCTAGAGGAAGAGCTACAGGCAATTAATGCCTTCTGAGGGAGAGAGGGAGGGGAGGAGAGAGAGAGAGAGAGAGAGAGAGAGAGAGAGAGAGAGAGAGAGAGCGCTCCTGAGTGGTTATCCAACACGAAGCGGTCAGTCCTAAAAACACATAGAAGAGCAACACTAAATGAACTCAGCAGGGTGTATTAACACATTCACAAATGTATGTGTGTACACAAACACATACACACATATACATATATATGAAATCGTGAATTTGTAATGGGGCCATGGGAAGGGGGGAATAGTGTATATACAGTATACATATGAAAAAGGAAAAGAATAATGAGAAAGGTAAATCTTTTTCTACTCCAAAAAGGGAAAGCAACAAGTTATAGGTCAGCAGATATGCTCTGGACATAAATACTAAAGGAATCAAGACCCAGGCTTTGCTGAGCACTGCTGGCTACCCTCAGAAGGACAGGGGTTGGGATCCCTAAGAATTCCCCTGCCCATAAAACATAACCATCATAGTGTGTGCGTGCGTGTCTGTGTGTGTGTGTGTGTGTGTGTGTGTGTGTGTATTCTCATCAATCTCAGAGATGTCACAGTACAAAGAAGGCTCCCTAGCAAAAAGCCCTTTCCTTCACTGTGACAATGGAGACTCATTTTACACCTGTGTTGTTAGCAGAGATGACCTGTCACCTTTCTCTACCCTCTCCCGGGTATTCACTGAAAACAGACAGACAAACATATACATACAGGGGTCTCTCAGCAAGAGCGCGACGGGCCTGACTCAGCCTCATCAACATCAGACCCTGAGAATGAGCCTATAATAGTTAGCAAATAATATGTGGCCCCTACATGCTCACCATGTGATGCTTGGTCCACAGGAGGCACTGTTAATGATAATGCTGGGAAAAAAGCTGTTTTAGCAAAGACTGATGGGCTATCTAGAACTACAGTGGTGTGGCGAGGTTGGGATGTTGCCGGTCCACAAGCTGCTTACCTTATTCTGAGCAAGCTTTAGACCCATCAACAGTCATTCCTTGCCTGCCTCTGTGTTAGAACTAACACCCTGTGACTAACTGATAAAAAACCTTTTGGGATCTATTAAGTTATCAGACCACTAACTTCTACCAACCCAAAGCGAAGAGTTTCATCAAGATAGCAAGTAAGGCCTATAGAAAAGCTTCCCCTACGTTGCTGTAACCACCCCAGCAGGAGGTTGGCTTGTGTGGGTACAGTTCAATTCTGAACATTCAAGGATATCTCAATTTCATTCCATAACAGGCCCTTTTCTTTAATATCACGGAAGTCACCTGGAGATACAGTTTGGGGATAGAATTCTTTCGTGTTTAATACATGAGGCACAGGGCTTGATCCCTGCGTGTGTGTGTGGGGGGGTTAAAAAGTGCAATCCCCTTCCCATAAATCTGCAGAGTTTTGTGGTAGATTTTCAACAATTGTTTGAAATCTGTATCATCTACTGCTGGGCTACAGAGCTCTTCTTAAAGCAATATTTCTTAAAGATGCTATAAAAATGGATGAGACATAACTAACATAAAACCTATCAGAAGGACCACAAAACTTCTGCTCCCAAAACAAACTCTCTCATAGTTTCAGTGCCAGGCGGTAGTGGTGCACGCCTTTAATCCCAGCACTCAGGAGGCAGAGGCAGGAGGATCTCTGTGAATTTGAGGCCAGTCTGGTGTACAAGAGGTAGTTCCAGGACAGGCTCCAAAGCTACAGAGAAACCCTGTCTTGAAAAACCAACACCCCCCCCCCAAAAAAAGAATGAATTTCAGTTGTCTCAGTACAGGGCACAAGATGAACACTATATGATTG